CTCTGTTTTTTTTTTGATATTTTAACTTTGGTTGAGCTTGAAATTCGTGAACATTGAACGTTCCAGAAAAGGTGAAAAACTTAACATCGAAAGTTTGCCCGGACGTTGCCCTCAAAACTATCCGGCAAAAATTATAACAGATGGTTAAAAAAGCTAGGATGAACCTCTACACGTTTCGGGATACAACTGAGATTGGACCATCAAGGTACTTAGCGAGCGCATGCAGTTTGGCGCGTACTAGTCCTAACTGGCAATTCTTCGAAGCCTGAAATGAAGACAAGAGTAAATTTCCCGGAGAATTGGAAAGAAGAACACTACACTAGTTTAGAGAAGGGACTTTAAAGCGACAATACCTTTAGAGCAAGAAGCATATTAGCCACACGAGTAGCTGCCATAACACCGTCTTCGCATACCATTATAGCCTCTTGAAGATCTTCTCTGCCACCTGCAAAGAAAAATTTGGAAATTTAGCCAAATCTTCAAGGAAAAGATACGGCAACATATGGAAAAAAGGTGAACAGCCACAGTGACAGGTAAAACTAAGTAATGAATTCATGTTACCTTTCTTATCAAAAGACTCCCAAATGCTAGAAATTAGGGCAGCTGATACGTTGGCATGATCCTTGCTGTCACGGTAACCACTGTATGCGAGTAAAAGTCCTGAACCTCAGCCTTTCAACCAAAAAAAGACAATGAGAAAGGACATAAGGCTGTTGACTAGTTAATCTGAATAAAAGACTTGTTCCTTTATTCCTAGCAAAAGTTGTGACTGAGTAAGAGAATAAACCAGCACTTTAATTTAGGACATCGCCGGCAAAAAATGTACAAAAGAAACCAACTGACCTTCTCGATTGAACAGTAAAGCGCCTGACACCTCGGCAGTGTTTACTTGACCAAGCACTTCTACTAAAGCTTTTTGACGGAGCATTCTAGGAGATTTCGTTATTTCCAAACCAAAGAAAACAAATTAGCAGTAAAGAGGATGACCAAACAGAGAAAAATTCAGACCGGCTACAGAACTCATAACAAACTAGTACAAACAATAAATTGTATATATTATTTATTTACAAGGAAGGCGGTATAAGTAGCATGGACAAAATCAACAACAAATAGATACAAACATCAGAAATTCTATTTTTTGTTTTACTCGGTCCAGCGGTGACTGCAGGTGGTATCCATACACACATAATAGAGTCTCATCTCCTCCTGAAATA